CAGCTCACATTTTCTGGGTCAGGAATCCAGAAATGCATGGGCTTGCAATTAAACTGTTGGCTAGGGCTGGGGTCATCTCAATTGGCAGCCAAGATTCAGCTCACTCACAAACAGTGGCTGGAAGTCCTCTTCCTTACCACACGAGATCTCTCTGTAGGCTAAGCATCCTCCAACATGGCAGGTAGTGATCTGAGAGGGAGAGAATCAGAGGGAGCCCAAGACCGAAATCACAGATTAAGTTTAAAACCTAATCTCAGGACAAACATCCCTACTCATTAGAAGTGAATCAGGAAGCTTGGCCCACACTCAAGGAGAGATGATGACAAAGGGGAGTGAATCCCAGGAGGCAGGGGTCACTGGGGCCATCTTAGAGGGTGCTAAGCATGCCGAGGATGCATACAACTTCGTATCCTATTTTTAGTTTTCATCAACTTAAAAGTTTTGTTTTGCCATTCTTCATTTATATGTTTTAAAAAATTATAAAAGCAATATACTCTTATTGTAAAGATCTTCAAATGTTCAAGTGATAGAAGTGCAGTCTTTTTTTGCCATATGGCATGTGGAATCTTAGTTCCCTGACCAGGGATCAAACTTGCAACCCCTGAGTGGAAGCAGAGTCTTAACCACTGAACCGTCAGGGAGGTCCCGACAGTCCTTTTCTTTACGCTGTTTCCTCAGACTAGTTCAACTACCCTGAGGTAGTTGCATCTAAGGTGCTTTTCACACATAATAAACATGTATGTATGTTTACAATATATACAATAAAAACGTATATATGTCTCTTATAGTCCTAGTATTTATTACAGCTCACACACAGCAGATACTCTGCAAACGCTAAATAAATGTTGGAGCTGAATTGAAGGCTTTGAGATGTCACTGAACCAGCAGTCAGAGGGCTGGTTCAAATCTCGAAACCTCTCCCTAATTTACCCCTTATTCTCTTTGGCCTCCAATTCCGTAATTATCAAACGCATGTGTAATGCTAGATTTTTTCCTCTAGTTCTTTTTAGATTCGAAAATACATGTCTAAGAAGGAAATGGCTCAGAAGGTAAGCAAATCCATCTGTAATGTGGGAGACCCTGGTTCAATCCCTGGGTAGGGAAGATACCCTACAGAAAGAAATGACAACCCACTCCAATATTCTTGCCTGGAGAATCCCATGGACAGACGGTCCTGGAGGGCTGCAGTCCGTGGGCTTGCAAAGTCGGACATGACTAAGCGATGAACACTTCACTTTCACTTTCTTTCAAGAAGGAAATTGTTATTCATCTTATGATCTCTTTACAAACCAAGTTAAATATTATAATCACTACTCCAAGACCATGCATTTTACCCTATTTTTCAATGCCCACATATATTTTTCATTTTATTTTAAAATATAAAGATGTCAGAGATTCTGAACATCAATCAGTTTGAAGATCAGTTATAGGTAATTAAATCTTTAATCTTTTTGGCTTCAAAAAGTCTTTATCAAGGTTCATTTTTTTCATGAAGAATACTTGTTTGCAAAAGTTGGGTCAATCACAAACCTACGGTCTAGGTAGGATTAGCCTTACAAAATGTCCTAAAGAATTTTCATACCTATGCGTATCATTTATTTCTGCTTGAACTCTTTCCCAGCCACACTGGGCCTTTGGTAACAGGCGTCTGTAATGGTTTTGCTAGTGACATTTTAACAGCGGTCATGAATGACATTGTTAACATAAAAAAAAACAAAACAAAGCAAACCTTACCTCTTATCACTGCTTTGGTTGCTAAGTTGCCTCAGTTCCTCTCTCCTTGGGAACTTGAATCATGGTGGAGTTAATTTGTTTGGGCAACAATAAAGCTGACAGTTTGTATCAGCCAAAGGCTTATGCTAGCAAAAAAAATCCTCCTGTCCCCTTTTATGCCCATCAATAGCTCTCACACTCCTTCTGTACCCTTTCTATCAGCATAGTTTTCCCTCTTCTGATAGCACTGCTTTATGTTTTTGCTTTCAGAATAATCTCTTTTAAGGGTTAGCATTCAACAGATTCAGTAAGTCTTATTCTAATAAAAATTCCATCAAAATCTACAGAATTCTGCATAATAAATCTTCACAACCCTGGTGGATAGTTTGCAGTAGCAGTATTCTGCTGATTGGACTGACCTTGGGTAAGTCATTCAATTCTCTTGAATTAAATAAATAGTTTTCTTTAGGAAAACAGAAGCTAGAGGTTATATTAGGCTTGACTTTCCCTCACGATCAACAGAATTGAGTTTTTCACTTGGTTCACTTAGAATGGGGACTTCAAGGACTCCCATAGATGGGTTAGCTGCAACTTCCTGAAACTCAGCAAAATTTTGAACACACCCTTTCCCTATAATGATGGTTCTGAGTTATTAACCACACTGAACACTTACTGTATGTCAAGAAATAGGCTAAGAAGACTTTCTAACTTAATCTTCATTACAACACTGTGAGGTTCAAAGTAGGTACAATCATTAGAATTTTTATCATTTTACAGATGATGAAACAATCTTCAATTTTTCTAAGTAACATTTCCAAAGTTGAACAAGATCTGTCTGACCTGTAACTCAGCAACAAACAATAGTAAATTATTGCATACTGAGTATTAATGCTTTTTATTAATGTATTCATTATAATACAATTCACAATAAATTTGAGGGGCGTTCTGTATGGAGTTAAGGCTTTTAAGATTTTTCCTGTATATTGATTAATTGTCCACATTTTTTGAGGCAAAATGGAACAGTAAAAATATCTCTAGTTAAACATTTTTGCCTTTAGTCTTTAACTAGGTAAAAATGGGCAAGTTATTTGATATTTCTTGGGTCTTATACTGATTGTTAGCATGGCTTTAACTAGACATAATGTAGTTAAAGCTCTAATGGCACACATTAGTGGTCTTCTCTCCAGGGTCTTTCCAGATTGCCATCTTCACCTAAAGGGACTTGGCCTTAATTCTTTGTAGTTTTTTCATTGTTGACTCCCTCATTGCTTAGAATCAAAATTCCATCAACAGTGTTATTCTTCTTATCTATTCATATTTTTCTTCTATCTGGATCCATTCTTCACGAAGTCTTTTAACCATCTTCGATGTTTATGCTCACAATAACCTTAATACGGGCTCTTCCCTGGTGGCTCAGATGGTAAAGAATTTGCTTGCAATGTGAGAGAAGGGAGAAGGGAATGCTACTCACTCCAGTATTCTTGCCTGGAGAATTCCATGGACAAAGGAGCCTGGTGGGCTACAGTCCATGGGGTAGCAAAGAGACAGAGTTGAGCGACTAACACTTTCACTTTTCAACCTTAATATTTTCTATTAAGTGACTGATAGGTGCTCATGGGTCAGACTTTCATATTTACTTTATGCAAAACCAACAAATTTTAATGAATACTACTTAGCCTTATCCTTTATGAAATTACAAGTTCCATGAATGCTGCCTAGATGGCAGCCCTAGGATCCTGGACCATCTTAGTCATATCATCATTTCTCCATCTGACTGCAACATTCCCTCACCAAGAATCCTATGAAGTCTATACTCATTCACTGAAGAGTATTGTGTAAAATAAAAAACCGCAAGTGTTTGCCCCTATGAGGTCAGCAACAGGCTAAGGGGTAAGAAGGTAGAGAGAGAGAAGGAGTTTGTATTAAATTCAAAGTCTTTCAGTAAGAAGTTGTATTTTAGGCAACTGAGAATTCAAAACAAAGTACATAACTTTATGACTGAAATGAATAAAATAATTCTGAAAAAGCTGTTATGGGTGACAAATTCTGAAGAATTTTTGGAGATGACAAATTATATTCTAAAAATTTTACCTTTTCTCATATCAGTAAAATTGCAACCTGTAGTTGGGCTAATAAATCTTTGGTGAAAACAAAAAGGAATAAGGATTATAAAACAAATGATTCCGAACATAAGATTCTGAAAAGAATTAATACAGCATTAGATCATCTCCTAGATTACTTGTAAGTTTTTTTACTTTTTTTTGGACAATTGAAAATTATGAAAGCTGTTATGTTAGTCTTTTATTACTAGAGTAATTTAGCTGACTTAAATACTACAGATGGTGTTAATATAATAAATATGGAACATCAATGAGAACCTAAATTATATTTCTTGAGACCTCACTCATTCCAAGGGATGTGTGTGCAATCTATTATACAAAGGAAAAAATAACATAAATCACCATGACATTATATTGTATAAACAGATTTAGGAAGAAAACAGAAAAATGTGTTATCCATTAAGCTTCTCAATACCAATTTAGAGGTAACAACCTACGGAATCTGTATTAATGAGAGGAAATTATGTCCAACACTTAAGAATAATGGGCTTTGAATTTGAAGTCAGAGAACCAGGTTTGATTCTATGACTTTTTTTGCTGTGAACTCAGGCAAACTATCCAGTATCTCTGGGCTTCAGTTTCTTCACCTGTAATATGAGATACTAGTCTTATACGGATGTAACAAGGATAAAACAAGATGACGCATGTAAAACCAGAGTGCTTAGTACACAGAAAGTCCTGAATAATCATTAAGCTATTATTATTATGATTATTATTAGAGTTGTCCAAGATACATACCTGATGTATGATTGTATTATATATATTTTTGCTATTTACCCAGTTTGACAGAATACTTAAATCTTTTCTTTAGCGCTAGGATAAAACAGGAGCAATGGAAGCTATTCTTATTTTATCCATTTTACAAGTGTAAGTTATCAATGAAGATAAAAAAATTCATATTTTAAGGATTTTTTTTTATGTCACAAAGATTATCAGTGCTTTTGCATGAAAAGCCCTCTATATAATGTTTATTAAACTATTTAACATTTACACTCAACACATAATTGTTTTGAAACCTCAAAGTTCTCTGATAATTGCAATATCATTTTCAAATAAAGCATGGCAGAACCTTAAATATTACATCAAGATTATTTTTTAAAGAGATACACCTTCAAGAGATTGTGCCAACATAACTGTCCATTAACTAGCTCGGCCTTAGTAGATGTTTCAGCATATGGATGGTTCTTCTACTGCATGGGCACCCTCTGTAACAGCTTTGACACATTTAGCCATTGTCTGTGAGGCTCTGCTAATTGAATCTGAAAGACATCAAGAAAATGTGCATTTTGATAATATAACTTCAACAGAGGCACACAGTAAAACTTTCTATTGCGCATATTTAGGAACCACAAACAACAAAAAGACTATCAGAGTCTATGCAACAATACGTAAATATTGTAAAAATCAACTGATAAATTCAGAATATAAGCCCCATAACAGCTAAATGGTTTTAATAAGTACTCATAGGAATGATTAAATAATTATATATAGCCATACAAAAGGCCAGTATGCAACCATTAAGAATATTATAGAAAAGTGTTGAATTAACAACAGGAAAAGAATATGCATATATAGTTATTGAAAAAAAGGTTACAGAACAGTGTACTAAAATCCATAAATCATATACTTTATGGTTGAATTTTATGGTATGTGAATTATATTTTGATAAAGCCATACAAACCCTCCCTCCCAGGGTAAATGAATAATCTCATTTATATTTAAATAAATATATGTGTATGTTCCTGATTGACTGGCCAACATGTTAAACATAAATATAGCCATTTCTGGGATGGCAGTGTTTTTCCCTTGCTATGGTGGCCGTAGGTAGGTATTCTACAATGAACCTAACTTTTACAACATAACTAAAAATCCTGTTAAAAACAATCTTAGATACAAACTGTACCAAAAACTTAAAAAAATATCTGTCTGCTTTTAGACAGAAAATTGTTTTAAAATGTCTATCAACTACCTCATAGCCTAGATGTTCCACCATGTGTTATAAAAGCTGTAGGTTAGTCTGCATTCCTTAAGAATATTCTTAACAATTTATTATCAGAAGCACCATTTAGCACGTTTCACTTTAGTGTTTTCATTCTTTTACTGTAATTCTCAGAAAAACCTTCAGTTTTTTGTCACTCAGAAAATTATCCCCATATTGCTGTATAGTAATTCTACATATAATAGTAGAAGTTTATATTTAAAACTTGCTAATTCTTACTGGATTTTCAAACTCTACTTACATTTCAGAAGAAAAGAAATTCGAGTAAAATCAGAATATATAGTTATATTAGTTCGATATTTGAAAAATCTTGTGAGATTAGACACACCCAATATTACCACTAGCAGGTGAGAATCATAACACTAAATTAGGTGATTATATTCCTTCCCACCTTCCCTTTACGGCAGTCATGCTAACAACTGCATACCTGTCATGTAGAAGTCTTTTATTGTTAGCTGAGGTGGAACAAGTGGATCAGCAAGAAGCTGTTGGTTCACTAGCTGCAAAAAAGGAATAAGAGATCAGTAACAGTACTGAAAACTAGTACTGCTACACCAGAGGATATATTATTATGAAAACTGCAAACAGACAAGTTTTTACCTTGGAAAGCTCACTTGCTTGCTGGAAATAATTAGCTCCTTCAACATCATCATATCGAACAAGATTAGGAGAGACTTCTTCCAATCTGTTTCTCACTTGATCCAGGGTATCATATGGAAGAGTCATACCTGCAATCTATAACGTAACAGGTTCCAAAGCATTTATACTTATAAATTTCAAGTAATACCTCACTGCAACTATGGTAAAATAAGGCAGTACTAGTATGAAAAATATACTGGTGTCCCTTTGCATGTATATTAAGCAAGTGGTTAAGTGGGGAATATTAGAATATTCGTCTAATTCATAAGTAGCTGTCAACACATTAGTAGTTTATTTTTCGAAATCAGAATGATCATGAAATAAATGCTTTGCTAAATCTGAATATTTCAGCTAACCTGTTATTGCTCATATACAAGGTTTATAGACAACTGTATATTATTACTTTAAATCTCACGATGCTTCTTTTTACAATAAGAGTTGAGAGTTGAGTCTTTTAAGGCAAAAGACAAGTCAAAAATAAAAAACACCAATTTCAAATTCCCATTTTCTTTTTCTTTTTTGGTCAAGTCACATAGCTTGCAGGATCTCAGTTCTCTGACCAGGGATTAAACCAGTGCCTTCTGCAGTGAACGCACAGAGTCCTAACCACTGGACTACCAGGGAATTCCCAAACCCCTGTTTGGGGTTTCTCATGTCTCTCCTATAGATTGTTTAAATCATCTCTGCATTTCAGACTTGCATCCCCCTTGACTATGGAAATCATTCTGGCAAGCTAACATGTCAAACATCCTACTAGCAGCACCACTAAGGACAAATACCTCAGAAAGGGCTCTTATAATTTTCCAGTCTTCTCTTGCCAAGCCAGGAGGTGTCACTGCTACTTTTGTCTGCTGAGCTCGGCCCTCGGTATTAACATAAGTAGCAGACTTCTCTGTGTAAGCAGCACCAGGGAGAATAACATCAGCTATAGGTGCTCCCACGTCGCCATGATGTCCTATGAAAAAGATGGAAAATGGCAAACCACATTTTAGCACAAAACGGATTATGTACTAAACATGAACACAGTATATATCCTTTTAAAATTCCATTTTTATAAGTGTTAAAATTCCATTTTATGATGTGTTTACAAATTTACTGTTAAAAAATTAAAACAATACAGTATTGAGTATATGGAATAAAAATTAAAGTCCACTGGGTCCACAATTAAACTCACTTCTCCAACAAAAGGTCCTGTTAAAAGCTTTTGGTATGTATCTTACCAGATCAATTTTTGCAAATACACAAATACATAATACCACACATACATAACTAATGGGCAACTAGGTATATTATCTCACTTGATGGTTACAAAGTGGAAATGCTCAGATGTCTGCTAGTGAGATTTGGTAAAGTAAACTGAAATGGCGCAGGAACAGGAGTATGCGACAGGGGCATGACAGGAATAATACTAAAAAGAGCATGAAGAGATTACAGAAAACAGTATGCTAAAGACTATCACTCATTAACTAAAGTGTTAGAAGAAAAAAGAAACTTTGGTTAAGTGAAAGAAAGCTATAGAACAATACATAAACTTTGATCTCATTTATGTACTTTTGTGTATGTATAGAAATACGTATGAAGCATGCATATCTAAAACATCATCAATGATTATCCCTGGATAGAACTAGGAGAGGATTTTAGTTTATGCATTTTGGTTTAATTTATCCAAAAAAAGTTACATAATGCTTTTTATGCGGCATGGCAATAAAAAGCCTATTATAAATTAATGTTGTTTCTGTATAAAGCAAGGTTTCCCTGGTAGCTCAGATGGTAAAGAATCCACCAGCAATGCAGGACACCCCAGTTCGCTTCCTGGGTCAGAAAGATCCCCTGCAGAAGGGACAGACTACCCACTCCAGTATTCTTGGGCTTCTTTGGTGGTTTAGGCAGTAAAGAATCCTCCTGCAATGCAGGAGACCTGGGTTCGATCCCTGGGTTGGGAAGATCCCCTGGAGGAGGGCATGACAGTCCACTACAGTACTCCTGTCTGGAGAATCCCCATGGACAGAGGAGCCTGGCGGGCTGCATACAGTCCATGGGGTTGCAAGAGAGTCAGACACGACCGAGCACGCATGCACGAAGTGCAAAAATGTAACAAAGGACTCATGACTTTTTAATTTTTACACTCTTTATTGAATATGTAATCACACTAAATATTCTTTTTAAAATGAATTTAATGCTATATAATATTTCATAATTTAAATTACTGTTACTGGGGGCATTAGGTTTCTTCCAATTCTTTGTTATTAAATAATGTAAGGGGATAATTTTTTTTTTTTTTAAGGGGATAATTCTTAATAGCAATAGAAACTATGTAACTAATAAAGCCTATTTTAAAAAACATAAAATCTATAAAAATACATACTGTTTTGAAACTGGTGAGCGTATAGGGAAATTCTCAAATGGAAAATACTCATTACACTAAACATACTGCCATGCAGTTTCTAATATACAAAATGTACCATTCTCTTCTGTTTCTAATGTCACAGATGCTACTAACCTTGATAAACAATGAAACAATCCTTTGGCAAATCCTGTCGAGTGACACAACCTCCATCTGCTCCCAGGAGAAACAGCATTTTGGGAGGATTCTTCCGAATTGCTTCCACCCCAGGCTTATAGCCAAGGTCCAAAGCAGCTACTTGGCTTGCAATCCTATAAAACAATTATGGGATTTTAGCATACTTGCTGTTTTCATTATAAAAAATTAAATGTGATTCTTGAATAATACCAAGTCTCTTTTTTTTGTTCAATGCTGTCAAAGATCTTCCCTCATCTTTTTTACCCATGTGAAATAAATGTCAAAATCAGAAAAAGCAGTCTTTTACTGTTTTAAGAATGCCAAACAAAGAAATAAGATGCTGAGGACAGTGTTTCTTCATGACGTGATACTTAATGGAGTAATTCAGGAAACTATGCCAACCGCAATTGTCTTAAGTTGATTTTTATTCAATACAGTTAAGACTTGATGAGTCAAAGACAGTTATTAGAGAAAAATTAGAAGACTTTGAAAACCTAAAAGAAAAAATTTAAATACCACTCATAAAACTGTAATTCAGAGAAAACTATAATTAGTACACTGGTGTATGTCCTTAGAGAATTTTTTCAATGAATATATATTATTGTTACACAAGCAGATAAAAATCTTTTAAAGAAGTTTCAAGTAACTATATTTCGAACATTTGGGAGTTTTTGTTCTAGTTAGGTATTATCTATTTTCTTTACAGAAATAGTAGCCATTCTGAGAACCTACTATGAATAAAGCTAGCTGATCTTCACCTATTTGTTAAGGGGGAGGGCAGATCAAACAAACTCCCACTAGATGCTGCTTGCTCTGTAAAACTCTCTAATAGGACATCAAAAGAATAAAAATACTCTGAGAATATTTAACAAAAGAAGTGTAAGATTTGTATGACGAAAATTACAAAACAACTCCAAAGGAAATTAAAGACCGTAACAAATGGAAAGACATCCTATGTTCATGGATTGGAAGACTTAATGTTGTGAAGATGGCTTTACTCCCCAAACTGATTTAATGCAATCTCTATCAAAACTCACAGCTACAGAAACTGACAAGCTGATCCTAAAAGTCACATGGAATGCAAAGGACCCTGAAAAACAAAGTCTATCTTAAAAATGAACAAAGTCAGAAAACTCAGACTGCCTAAATCCAATTTCAAAACTTAGCTCCTGCTGCCTCTCCACCTACACAGTTATTTTTTTTTTTAACATCTCTCATTCTAAGCCTTGATGTCTCGCAAAGATCTGAGCACAGACTAACTCATGACAGATCCTACCTCATCTTGGAAAACAAAGTGGGTAACATAAGTTTGCCTCTGAGATTGATAAACTACAGGCTGATTAAAAGATTCTTCAAGAATAAGAAAATATGCTTTACTATGAAATAAACTTACTGTAAGAAATTTTTAAAAGGTTTATAAATATTCTTCATGTTCTCAACAAGAATTAGAAGGTATGTCTTAATAAACTGCATTGAAACAAGCTGTTCTTATGAAAATGAAATCTTACGTAAGAATGAAATGAAATTAAAAAAACAAGTCTAATCAATTAAAAATTACAATGGCATTAGTGCTCTCCATAATCAAAGTTCACAAATGACAGAAGATAAATAAGAAATTCTCCCTAGACACAGGAAAAAAGTGAGAAAAACTATGAGAAAGAAGAGACAAAAGTCTGAAGGGCCAACCAGTGCATAATAAATAGAAGCTTCTGCATGAGAGCCGGAGAAGGCAATGGCACCCCACTCCAGTACTCTTGCCTGGAAAATCCCATGGATGGAGGAGCCTGGTAGGCTGCAGTCTATGGGATCGCTAAGAGTCGGACACGACTGAGCGACTTCACTTTCACTTTTCACTTTCATGCATTGGAGAAGGAAATGGCAACCCACTCCAGTGTTCTTGCCTGGAGAATCCCAGGGACGGGGGAGCCTGGTGGGCTTCCGTCCATGGGGTATCACAGAGTCGGACACGACTGAAGCGACTTAGCTTAGCATGAGAGCAAACAACAATGTAAAAGTAGACAAAGTGGCTTTTTCTGAACTTACATGAAAAAACAAAAATTTTCAATTTGAAAATGGAGAATTCTATGATATTCCCAGGCAAAGGAGATGTCAAACAAATGTCACTTAGTTATATCCCAGTGTAAATTTTTTTTTTTCTGGCCAGGCTGTACTACGGCGCATATGCGATCTTAGTTTCCTGACAAAGGATTGAACCTGTGTCCCCTACACCGGAAGCAAGGAGTCTTGACCACTGGACTGCCAGGGAAGTCCCTCCAGGAATCCAAAGGGTGGGCAGGCAGACAAGAACACATACATACACAAAATCAGGTTATCAGAAGCAAAAAACCACACAAAAAAACAGATTAGATGAGATCCTCTCTAAAATGTTAAAGGAAGGGTGAAAAAAATATTGAGTATTAAAGGAAAAAAAAAATCTGTGATTTATATATTTAGCCAAGTGGTCCTCAGTGAAAAGGAACCATAAAGACATTGTTAGACACGCAGAAATTTTTCTTAAAAAGTTATTATGATATTGTTTTTTGGACAAAAACAAAAACAAAAAATATTAATAAAGACATATGTTCAAAAGTGAATTAAAAATAAGAAAATAACTAGTCTCTTTTCTATTCTAAAAATTGTCACTAGAAAGGATCTGAGTTGATCAATGCAAAAACTATTTAAAAAATACGAAGTTTTAAAAAAATGTTTACATGATGACCTACGATGCACTGAAATGAATGTTTAAGAATGCATTTGAACACTTTTAAAATAAAAAAATTTGCTTATCATGGAGTGTTTATTTTATTGTTGTTTAGTTGCCCAGTCATGTGCAACTCTTTGTGACCCCATAGATTCTCCAGGCAAGAATACTGTAGTGGATTGTCATTTGCTTTTTCTGGCGGGGGTCTTCCCAACCCAGGGATCAAACCTGAACCTCCTGTTTGAGTCGCCTGCATTGCAGGCGGATTTTTTACCACTGAGCAACTGGGGAAGCCCACTGAGTGTCTACCCTCGATCTTTAAACAAATTTGAAGATTTGAAAAGTAACACTTGAGGTAGAAAGAACTGTGTGAAATGAGAAATTCACTCACTAATGGCAAAATTGGTACAATCTTTCTAAAATAAGTTGGCAATATGCATTAAAAGCCTCAAAAATGTTTATCCTATTCACTGCAGTAGTTCTACTTTCAGAACAATTCTATTTTATATTTATAAAGAATTTATAATCACAGGAGGAAATTCTTATTTTTGAACCACAGTATATTAATATGATATAAATTTTCAAGATTTTTTCTAGCACTTACTACAATTTAGATATTTTAAATATTATTTATTATCTTGGGTTCTTCTCACACAAAATAAAAGTTGCTATTCACATCTGCTACTGAGATAATGTCACTAAATATCAACTCGTTTTAAAAATAAATGTGACAGTGTACAGGAACACATATACACACAATTACAGGTCACAAAACAACTATCCAACTTACCTATGAAGGATATTCATAACTTTCCAATCCCCAGTAACACCACTACTTGTCCGAACCTTTTGAGCAATGTTGGAAACAGCTGCAAGAATTGCTGCGCCATCATTTCTCTGGAGTGCAGAACTGCCTAAAACCACCATTGGTTTTTTAGCTTCCTGTAGGACCTATTTTTAAAAAGAACTCTGAATTAAAAAAAAAAATTAGAAGTAACTAAATCTAACCAAATTTGTATCTACAATACGCTGTCCCAAGCTTTAGTTCTAAGATGAACATCCTGATTTGCTAGTCAACATATGGATATACATATAAACCGGATTTACTCAAAAACCTCTTGCCAATGCTAGTGTGAAAAAGCTAAATGAGTATTAGATAAAACAGTTTCAATAAGGAAGCACTGAGAACAAAAGCCTGAGCCAAACATCCTTTAGCAGAATGACTATGGATAGGTCCCAGAAAAAACTGGAGAAAATGTGCACAGAGGTTGAGATGACACAATGTTTTAACATGAGAAATCAAGCTGAAGTACCATGTCTACCTTCTTCCATCTAGTTACTATGTTCCAGACAGGGAGGAAAAGGTAGGGAAAGCAACAGACACAGATCACAATGCAGAATACTTTAAGGGCTTTGCTTTAAACCACAGTAACTACCTGAATATCAGAAACTGAGAAGGAATGCATCCCAAGTGCAAAAGAAACTACAGATATGGTGGAGGACAGAAAAATTAAAAGTAAAGCTGTAGACTATTACAGTTCACTCTCCTGCCCATCCATTCTTTGATAAACAGCTGGTCCCAATTAATGAATCAGCATGAAAATCACTTCTAGATACTACAAAGAAGAAGATATTCATCTTAAGAGGACTTTCCCAAGGAAATGTGAAGAGTTTTCAATAGCCTTAAAAAATGAGAGACAGTTTTCAACAGCCTCAAAGAAAATGAAATATTTTAAAAAAGAGAGCTCAGAGAAGTTACATAGTAGACAATATCATAGAGGATTTTCATCAGAAAATTCAAGAACTAAAAGAGAAACAAAGCAGAGATGAACATCATTCCAGAAACAACAAAAAACAAAATTAAACGACTGTAAATACAGGAGCAAGAAGTATATAGGAAATTATATAAAACAAACTGAAAAAGAACAGAGGAATAAAGAAAAAAGTGACAGAAAAGCTAGAAAAAGGGATTCAGTATCTGTAAGAGCTCTTAACAAACAGAACAGAAGTAATTACTGGAAAATACATCTAAATCTATTATAAAAGGAAATTTTCCTGAAGAACACTCATCACCTTCTGGGGAATGGGGAAGGGAACTATAGAGAAGAGAGGGCTTCTTCTCAATAAAATTTTTTAAAAAATATTTTTGATGACAGTAATAATAAAGATATTATTCAAAACCGACAAAAAAGGAGCTGGGTTTGGCTGCTTGGTCTTCTCACACTGGACTTTCTTCTTGCCGACACCTGGAGGTATAAGTGAAGCAACCATCCTGAAATCACGAGGAGAGGCTCACACGCAAACACATGTGAGTGAACTTGTACACTGAGGACAGCAACGCAGGAAGGCCGGCTCCTGCCCTGCTGAGATCCCCAGACAGCGGCACCAGACGGCAAACTGCCTACCTTCAGAATCGCTGCTATGTGAGAAACAGGACCACACACAAGCACACATACAACTCCTAAAATAGAGAGAATCTTGAATATTCAAACTGAAGGAGGCAGCATATCCCATTAAAAAAAAAAAAAGGGTAGGGAAGCACCATCATTAAGATATATTCTAGTGAAGTCACTAAATTTCAAAGATAAAAAAGTATGAAATATCAACAAAAATGTATCTAGACAACAACAATAGGACAGTGTTGATAAAGAATAATACCTCAAATCAGGCTTCTCCACAATAATAAAAGGCAGTGTCTAGACTTCCCTGGGGGTCCAGGGACTAAGACTCTGTCGCTCCAATGCAGGGGGCCAGGGCTCAATCCCTGGTTGGGGAACTAGATCCCACATGCCACAACTAATAAGAGTTCGAATGCCACATTAAAAGATCATGCATGCTGCAACTAAGACCCAGCACAGCCAAATAAATACACTAATTTAAAGGGGGGGGGGGCGGCGGCGCATATCTATAAAGTTCAGAGGGAAAAACAAAAATATAGCCCAAGATCTTTACATTCTGCCAAGGCTCTCGTCAGGAATAAAATAAACATTTTCAAGCAAGAAAGAACTCAAGAAATGGTGCACGTACATCTCTTGAAAAAAAGAAAGAAGCCTAAAAGCTCTATACTTCAGGTGGCAAATAAAAAAAATTATATAAGGAATTTAGTAATGAAAAAGGTCATGTAAAAAGACCAGTGAAATTTCTTTAAGGAATAATAATTCTTGCTGTAAAGAAAGACTTCACTGAAGTTTAAAATTGAATTCTTTCAGTTTCACATCATTTTCTTTTCCGATAACTTCAAGTAAAATTAAACTCTGGTTAAAAAAAAAAAAAAGAAAAAGCAGAGTCCCAGAGAATAGCAATGAGAGATAAGAAAGTCTTCCTAAGTGATCAATGCAAAGAAATAAGAGGAAAACAGAATGGGAAAGACTAGAGACCTCTTTAAGAAAATTAGAGATATCAAGGGAACATTTCATGCAAAGATGGGCACAATAAAGGACAGAAATGGTATGAACCTAACAGAAACAGAAGATATTTATAACAGGTGGCAAGAACACATAGCACTATACTAAAAAGATCTTAGTGGCCCAAATAACCACAATGGTGTGATCACTCACCTACAGACAGACACTCTGGGGTGTGAAGTCAAGTAGGCTTTAGGAAGCATCACTACAAAAAAACCTAGTGGAGGTGATGGAATTCCAGCTGAGCTATTTCAAATCCTAAAAGATGATGTCATTAAAGTGCTGCATAAAATATGCCAGCAAATTTGGAAAACTCAGCAGTGTTCACAGGACTGGAAAAGGTCAGTTTTCATTCCAATCCCCAAAAAATGCAATGCCAAAGAATATTCAAACTACTGCACAACTGCACTCATCTCACACGCTAGAAAAGTAATGCTCAAAATTCTCCAAGCCAGGCTTCAACAGTATGTGAACCGTGAACTTCCAGATGTTCAAGCTGGATTTAGAAAAGGCAGAGAACCATGGATCAAATTGCTAACATCCACTGGATCTTCAAAAAAGCAAGAGAGTTCCAGGAAAACATCTACTTATGCATTATTGATTATGCCAAAACCTTTGACTGTGTGGATCATGACAAACTGGAAAATTCTTAAAGAGACGGGAATATCACACCACCTGACCTACCTCCTGAGAAATCTGTACGCAGATCAGGATGCAACAGGAAGAACTAGACATGGAACAACAGACTGGTTCCAAATTGGGAAAGGAGTACGTTAAGGCTGTATTTCGTCACCCTGTTTATTTAACGTATAGCCTGCACACTGCAGTCCATGGGGTCGCGGAGTCGAACACGACTGAGCAACTGAACTGAACTAAACACGTAGAGTATGATTTCATTTTTTTGCTTACCTATCCATCCATCTCTTTATATATAAACAGAGAGATGACCACAGGACGTTTCATCAACACTTGTTTGTAGTGGGATTTTTGATTATGTTTACTTTCTTATATATTATTTTCTATATTGCTATACATATATTTTAACAGCAATCTCATAGTTACCATGAAAATAATAAATTAAAAAAATAAAACTTAAAAATCATATACATATAACTTAAAAATCTTATACATGTAACTTAAGAGCACCTGGTTGAATGGATGACTACCCGAAGCAATGTCTTGAAGAATTTTGGGAGAATCTCCCAGATGGTCATATCTGTAAGTGAGATCCACTGGGCTGCCTATAAGGGCCACTTTTAAGTCATTATGAAGCCAGCTGAAATAAAAACAACAAAGTTTTTAGAGCTAAATCACTAAGTCGGTACAGTTATTGGTCTCATCAATGCTAAGTGCTACATCTATTTAAATTAAAAAATATTAAAAAGTATTAAAGTTTCCCCAAACATTTAACAGATTACTGTGTACTTTTCAAAATTAAGTGTTGTAAAAATACAGGTATACCTGTGTTTGGTCATAGACCACAACAATAAAGCAAATATCTCAATAAAGCAAGTCACACAAGCTTTTGCTTTCCCAAGGTATATACAAGTTATGTCTAGACTGTCTATACTACACTGTAGCTTATTAAGTATATAAAAGGATTATGTCAAAAAAACAATATATACACCTTAATTAAAAAATACTTTATTGCTAATAAATGCTAACCATCATATGAATGTTTAGCGAGTGGAAATCTTTTTGCTGGTGGAGACACTTACCTCAATGTTGAAGGCTGCTGAATAATCAGGGTGGTGGTTTACTTAAGACTAGGGTGGCTGTGGCAATTTCTTAAATAAGACAACAGTGAAGTTTACTATATCAATTAACTCTTCCTTTCATAAGCAATTTTTCTGTAGCAAGCAGTGCTGTTTGATGGCATTTTATCCACAGTAGAAATACTTTAAAAATTGGGAGTCAATCCTCTCAAATCCAGCTGTTGCTTTATCAACTTAAGTGTATGTCACATTCTAAATCCACTGTTGTTATTTCTACAATTTCTTTATAGAATCTTCACCAGGAGTAGATCCTATATCAAGAAATAACTTTCTTTTTGCTTATCCTTAAGAAGTAACTCCTCATCCATTAAAGTTTTATCATGAGATCACAGCAATTTAGTCACATCTTCAGACTTTACTTATAATAACTCTAGCTCTCTATTTCCACCACATTTGCGGTTATTTCAACTGAAGCCTCTCAAAAGTCATCCAGAAGGGTTGGAATCAACTTCTTCGAAACTCCTTTTTAACACTGATATCTTGACCTCTTCCCAAGACTCAATGTTCTTAATGGCATCTGGAAAACCTTTCCAGAAGGTTTTCAATTTACTTTGCTCAAATCCATCAGCAGAATCCTATATATGGCAGCTACAGCTTCTGAATAAGTATTTCTTAAATAACAAGACTTGAAAATTGAATTACTCCTTAATCCATGAGCTGCAGAATGGATGCTGTGTTAGCAGGCACAAAACAAGATTTATCTCATTGTATATCTTCATCAGAGTTTTTGGATCAGGTACAATTATCAATTAGTAGTATCTTGAATCTTTTTTCCTGAGCAGTAGGTCTCAACAATGGGCTTAAAATAGTCAGTAAATCATAATGCAAACAGATGCGCTGTCAACGAGGCTTTGTTGTTCCATTTATCAAGCACAAGCAAAACAGGTTTAGCAAAATTCTCAAGAGCCCTTGGATTTTCAGAATGGTTAAATTGAGCACTGGCTTCAACTTAAAGTAACCAGGAGCATTAACCCCTAACATAGCCTATCCTTTGAAGCTCTGAAGCCAGGCACTGATTTCTCCTCTCTAGCTATAAAACTTCTAGGTGGCACATTTTTCCAATAAAAGGCTGTTTCGTCTACACTGAAAATCTTGTTCAGTGCAGCCACCTTCATTATCTTAGCTAGACCTCTGGGTAACTCACTGCAGTTTCTACATTAGCACTTGCTGCTTCACCTTGTATCTTTATGTTATGGAGACAGCTTCCTGCCCTAAATCTCATGAACCAACCTCTGCTAGTTTTAACTTCTGTAGCTTCGTCACCTTTAGAAACGAAGAGAGTTAGGGCCTTGCTCTGCATTAGGCTTTGAGGGAATGTCATGGCTGGTCTGATGGTCAATCCAGACCACTCAAACTTTATCCACATTAGCAATAAGGTTGTTTTGCTTTCTTATCATTCACTGCGCACTTTGGAGTAGCACTTTAATACATTTCCTCTGCAATCACGACAGGATTGTTTGGCACAAGAGGTCTGTTTTTTGACCCATCTCTGCTTTCAGTATACCTCCTTCAGTAAGTTTCATCATTTCTAGCTTTTGAGTTAAAGTGACTTCCTTTCACTTGAACACTTACAAGCCACTGTAGGTTATTAACTGACCTACTTTCCACACTGTTGTCTCTCAGGGAATAAGGAGACCCAAGGAGAGGGAGAGACATGGAAGACTGGCCAGTTGGCAGAGTGATCAAAACACACCAACATCTACTGACTAAGTTCAACATATTATATGGATATGGTATATGGTGCCCCCAAACAAAGAGTAACAGCAAAGATCACTGATCAAAGATCACCATAATAAAATGTAGTAAAAATAAAAAAGTTTGAAATATTGTGAGAGTTATCAAAATATGACACAGAGAGAGAAAATGCTGTTGGAAAATAGCACTGAAAGACTTACTCGACCAACAGCTGCCATAAACTTTAAATTTGCAAAAAACCAGACTATATCTGCAAAGTACAATAAAGCAAAGTATAACAAATAAGCTAAGTCTGCACACATCAAGGAAAGTCAATGAATTAACTTGCGTGTTAGAATGCTAACTCTAAGCTAGCTATAAACAAAGACTTTAATTTGAGAATAAGTGATATTTTTATTTTGTCATATCTACACAGCAGAGTCCTAATTATCTGTTAAAATCATGTAAATAAAATTTCATAAAAAACAAACTACATCATTCATATTTATTGTCTACTGATAAGGAAGTATGGATCCAGCTCCTCCAAAAATAGTAATAAATGTGGTGACCATATATTCTGGTTTGTCAGAGACAGTAGGGGTTTTTACTTGTCACCCTGGAATAATAACTCCCCTTTCTACTCTCAACATTGTCCCAGTTTAGACAATCAACTATATGGCTGAGCTATTACAAGTCTCTAAGATATAAAAAGAGAGGCATTCTACAAAATAGCCTGTAGTTTAAAAAAAAAAGTCAAAAAAGGAGACGGAAGAGTCATGATACTAACTGCAATGTAACTCCAGACTGGGTCCTAGGCAGAAAAAAGTTATTATAAAAGAAACTATGGAAGCAATTCAGTGAGATTTGAGCACAAATAAATAATAATACTGCATCAATACTGAATTCTTGATTAAATAAAGAATCAAATTCTTAAATGGAGAATATCCTTGTCTTAGGAAACACACACAGACGTGTTTAGTTTGGGATTAAAAGGGGATCATGTATACAACCTACTTTCAAATGATTATGTTCACACAAATATATAGATGGAGAGAAAAGAAAAAAATATAAACATTATCATTGATTAATCTGGGTGAACACTACACAAACATAGGTATACAAAAAACTTTTCAAGTTCCTTATTTCAAACTAAAAAGATAAAAAAATGATCAGCAGGGAAGTGGGGAATGGAGCTGTTAGAAGCTGCCCTTCAATTATCTTTTGGAATCTCACTCCCAACATTAGGAATCAGCTAAGACAGTCATTTTTCATACATAAATTATCATGTAAATGTTTTTAAAACCCAGAATATTATTACTAACCTCTTTCGAATTCTAGCATTAAATAGCGGTGCCTCAAAACGTGGATTTGTACCAACTAGAAGGACAACATCTGCTTCCTCCACACCAGCGATTGTAGTATTAAGAAGATAATTGGAACGTAGATCTGTGCTAGAAACATAAAATATAAAATCCAAGTTTACTTTAAAATTAATAAACACTGACAATCCATGAAATACTCTGTCATTAAATACATGGGTCACTGCCTGACAAAAAATTTCTTGAAGTATTCTTAAACTGCATCAAAGGTTCAAATACTTTATTAATAATTAGATTTTCTAATAGCTCCTGGTTCGACTTTGGTCTATATGTGAAAATAAACCAGTAGGTATGTTGGAGTATCCAAGTTGTCACTTAAAAGTCACTGATGCCACAGATGTGTTGGTTTAAACACAACCTATAAATAGAAGGAAAAAAAGAAAGAAAGAAAACAAAACACCTAGATCCTAGCCTCAAATTTCTCACCCAGCTCCTATGGTGGGGAAGACCTCTTCAGTGCACAGGGTGTCAGAATCCACTCTGTTAAGTAAATCTTTGAGAGCTATAAGGGCTTCAGCGTCCACCAAGCCACCTGCAATCGCTGCCACATCGTTGCCTTGAAAACTCTGCAACTAGAAATGGATGAAAACGCTATCACCAAGAAACCTTCATTCAGAAAAAGACCACAATGATTCATTCAGAAAACAAAACAAAAACGTCATTTTCAAGTAAAATAAAAGCAACAAACTTCTGACAAAAAAGCTTTTACACCAATTATTAGTCTGAAAGTGAGAAGCAGAAAGTGCATGTGGGGTCAAGGTTAACAACATTGGCTTGTTATAAAGTTGTTTTAAATTAGGATCAAAAGGCCTCGAAATGAGGTCAGGAAGATGGGAGACTTCGGAGTTATATAAATACAATCTTCTGAAGCATCTGTCGTTCCTTCAAGCCCTTTGTGCATCTTGCTCTGGCAAGCTTGTTCATTGCTCATCTACTAAAGAGACCATCAAAAGCATTCTTCATTTCTGGTGGTGTTTTCGATCCCTAGCATTTGTCTTTTGTTTTTTTCTTAGAATTTTCATCTCTCTGCTAACATTGTTCATCTATTTCCGTATGTGGTCTTCTCTTTCCAATATGGTCTTTAACATTTTAGTCATAGTTTAAAAAATACCTGGTCTGATACATCCAATATTCTTGTCACAGATGACTCTAGGTCTAATGCTTGTTCAGCCTCTGCAAGCTGTGCTTTTACCTGTTAGCATGCCTTGAAAGTCATTGCTGAAAGATGGATGTGATGTACTGGGTGAAAGGAACGGAGGTAACAGGTGGTTAGTGAGCGTGGTGGTGAGGTTGAGTGGGCAGGGGAAGTATTTTCCAGTCCTATGATTAGGTTTTAGTGAGCCGGTGCCGGGGAAAATGAACTTTCACAGTTTCTCTCACCCCCTCCCCCACATGGTACAGGTTTCCAAGAGGTGGCTGAGGTTAGGTACTTCACTTCTCTCAGGTAGGCAGCAGTAGCAGCTTCCTAGGTGGTTCAGTGGTAAAGAGTCTGCCTGCCAATGTGGGAGACTCAGGTTATGACCCTGGGTCAGGAAGACCCTCTGGAGAAGGAAACGGCAACCCACTCCAGCATTACTGCCTGGAAAATCCTGCAGACAGAGGAGCCTGGGTGGGGCCGGGGGTTGGCGGGGGGGGGGGGGGGGGGGGGTCGTGGTCTAGAGTCCATGGGGTTGCAAGAGTCAGATACGACTTAGCAACTAAACAAAAAAGTCATCTGTCATCTTACCTAGGTAATATGGTAGCCCTGGTAGGCGTCCCTCCAATGCGCGCTCTCATATATCATCTTCTGCATGATTACCCAAAGCAGCACACAATAATTGCCTGATTATGCATCTTTTCCTACTAAATGATTGTAGAAGTAGGAACCATGTGCTAATGATCTTTATATCCCTACATCTAACATGACATCAGATGGCTCTCAATAAATGCTTGTTAAATGGAAGGTAATTCTGGTAAGAGGAAAGAAGTGAAGAGAAACATAACCCCTCTTCATTAGAAAGATGTTCCCCATGGGACTTCCCTGGTGGTCCAGTGGCTAAGACTCTGTGCTCCCAATGCAGGGGGCCTGGGTTCAATCCCTGGTCAGGGAACTAGATCCCACACGCCACAACTAAAGAGCCCACATGCTGCAACGAAGACAGAAGATCCTGTTGCCAGAACTAAGACCTGGTACAGCAAAAAAAAAAGATGTGTCTTGGAAACCACAAATACAGTTATTCTATATTTCAATTTTTTACCATTCCAGCTACACGAGAGAGTGCATCCTCCCAGGTGGTATGTGTTAAAAGTCCCTTTTCATTTCTGACCATCGGTTCAGTAAGTCTTTGACGTTTTAGCCCATCATAAGCAAATCTAGATAACAGAAATTACACCATTTGTGAAATCTTTCTAAAAAGACAACTATAATTTTAAAATTTTAAATCTAAAAGAAATGTTATTTAAATATAGTGTTGGTTAAAGGTCAACTAGAACAATAAATACATGGATACAAATAATAATTCCAGATTTCTTTGGAGATGAATTAATATATTACAAACATTATCTGAAACTAAAATGCCACATAAAATGTTTGAGTCCTTATCATTTATTTTCAACTACCCAAAGAAACTTTAAATTACAATAAGTTTGGTAGCTGAGAAAACCAAATCATTTATAAAACCTGAGTATCTCTAGACATTTCATCAAAATTTTGTTATGCAAACTCAAACTTTTATTTAGCTTCTATTCTCCAATGAAAAAGAGACAATAGATTAAGTATCTTAATTTACTTAAAATTTCTCTGTCTTGGAGAAAAAAAGATATTTCTCTATATGAAAACCAGTAAGTATGGAAGCTTAGGATTATTATTAATGTCAGTTTTGTCCAATTAGCTATATAGCCTAACAATCCAGATTTCAATAGTCTATAGACAGTAATTTGCAAATATAAAAGACTGTTCCTTAAAATGAAAATTATAAAATTTCCTTTAAATCAACTGCAAAAGTTAAAGGAAAAAACATAGCACATACCTGGTTTTATCAGAGATCCATTCTTCATTGATGTCCTCATGCATCCGTGGCAAAATCCTCATTACCTCTCCAGTTCTTGTGCTGACCACAATATTACTTCCAACTGCATCCATTACATCAATGGACTCTGTCTTTCTAAGAAAAAAAACACATATATTTACTAGTTGATTTTGAGAATAAATGGACAAGGTTTCTGTTACCTGGTTTACCAAAATCAAAAAACTTACATATACTTTCCTTTCCTTACACATACACACACAGTCATATTTGAGCAGACCATAACACAAAAACGAAGCTTTAGAACTGTTATCTAAAACAGAAGCCAGTTGGAAAGGCTGTAAAAGCCAAACTGTGAAAACCTGACTATCAAAATAAATAAAGTTTTGGGTATGGCTGATTAAGGAGCTTGACAAATCCTCCCTCCAAAAAACAAAAATAAAGCTAGACAAAACTGATAAAAGTAACCAACTCAACTCTCTGGAGAGCTAACAAAAGCATAAAACATCATGTGAAGATTTTATGTTTAGAGAAACTGCTGAACTTCCAGAAAGAATGGTGGAAACCAGTGGTGTTCTGGCTTGGAACTATTCTTATTGCCCTTCTCACCACCTTGAACTGGAGGTTCTGGTAGGATGGGGCACGCTATGAAGACTGGGGATTTTTTCTCGCAGACAAAGACTCACTTGATTGGGAGAAATGGGAAAAGTTGTCTGTAGAAGTGATATCTTAGAGGTCACTGAGCTGAGGAAAGTCAAGGACCTACGAGCATGAGGCTGCAGTCACAGTCAGGGTAAGCATTCCCAGCGAAGGCTGCACAAATGTGCAGCTGAGACCAGAGACAGCACAGGCTATTCGTACTCTGCTGGACAACGCAGAGGCCCAAAAGACCTAGTGTGAACTACAAGCTGGGCAGACCTGAAAACAGCCAGAACTCTGAATATGCTTCTCTATCCACACACAAGGGCAATCCACGCGGCTCAGTGGTAAAAGAATCTGCCTGCAGTGCAGGAGATGCAGGGTCAATTCCTGGGTCAGAGAGCTCCCATGGAGAAGGAAACGGCAAACCACTCTTGCCCATATTCTTGCCTGGGAGATTCCATGGACAGAGGAGCCTGGCAGGCTACAGTCTATGGGGTCCCTAAAGAGTCAGACACAACTTAGCAACTAAACAGGAACAACAATCCACACAGATCCACTGGCAGAGGATGGAAGCTTTACTGGCTCAAAGAATTTGAGCATGATCATTATCTGACTACTAAGCTATACAGAGAAGCAATTCCTAAGAAGCCCTGCTTAAAAATAAAAACAAGAATATTAAAATGTTCAATAAAAGAAGGAAAATTATGTTTAAAGATGAAAGGGAAGAACTTCCCTGGTGGTGCAATGTGTTAAGACTCTGAGCTCCCAATGCAGGGGACCTGGGTTCAATCACTGGTCAGGGAACTAGATGTCACATGCCGCAACTAAAGATCCTGCATGCCACAACTGAGACCTGGCACAGCCAAATAAATAAATAAAAATAACTATTAAAAAAAAAGATTAAAGGGAAATATGAAACCATGAATCAACAAGTGAAGAGTCCCAGTGAGGATACACAAATTAAAAAAAAAACAACAAAAAACCCCAGAAATTCTGGAGTTGGAAAGTATAACTGTAATAAAAAGCTGACTATAGTGGTTGAATAGAAGATTTGGGATGGCAAAAGAATGAACTTGATACGATATATCAACAGAATCCATCCAATCTGAAGAACAGAGAGAAAAAAAGATTTAAGAAAAACGAATAGTGTCTCAGAGACCTGTAGCACATTAAGTGTACCATCATATGTATCATGGAGAGGAGAAAAAATTTTCGATTTAAACTTTTCAGTTATGTACTGTCTCCTCCCTGCCCAAACCCCCTAAAGCTTTTTTTATACATAAACACACGGTTCAAAGCCTGGAATTTTAAGATGCTCCTATATACTATGGTAGGAGTTTAAAATTAGAGGGCAATTTAATGTTTCTAGAACCTGAAAAGTATTTAAATTTATTTCAATGATCTATTTCTTAGTTTAATCAGAAGAATCAGAGATAGAATCAGAGAAAATATATTTATCATAAATTTGTAATTATACAGAAATAGAAATAAAGGTCTAATAAGAATTGATTAAAGTATGATATGTACATATGGTTGAAAATTTAATATACAATGAGAGGAAACTATAAATTCTTCAAAATCAACACAATCTTTCTCTTTGGAAGAAGTAAATAATTTTGTGATTAAGTACTCTGGAATTAATTTCCAAAGAAACAACAATTGACTTGCACAGGTTCATCCAGTAAGAGGTATGAACTTTACTTACACTCCAGGAAAAAGGGTTTTACTTTAAGCAAACAAAAATTAGCAGACCAAAAGAATTAGAACTCAGGAAGAAAATGAATCTTAAATGTTTTTTAACAGTACTGAAGTAAAGGACAAAAAATACAATGATAAATACCTTGTTTCCCAAGGCCGAGCAGTAAAGGCATAGGGCTTAGAGGTCAGGGCACCTACAGGGCAGATATCAATGATATTGCCAGAAAGTTCAGACATGAACATCTTTTCAATGTATGTGCCAACTTGCATATCGTTTCCTCTGCCTGTAGTTCCCAAATCATCCACTCCTGCAATCTCACTTGCAAACCTACAGGATAAAAATGCACCAAACAACTGGTCAAACCTGGAAAATTATCTCCTTTCTTATCGCAAAGATAATGATTTTCAAAACACTAAGAAGGTTTGTTTTCAATGGTAAGTGCCGTCCCTAAATAAAAATTAAAATAAATGCTGGCATTTGAGGTATAACACACATACAGGAAACTGTACAAATCATGTGTGTGGCTCAAGTTATCACAAAGTTAATGCTTGCAGATTCTGATCTTTCAATCCAACTGAAGTTGCTATTAACTAAAACTGAAAACGTATTCACTCTACTGGCTTATGTAAAAAACGACGAATACAGCACCCTTCTTTTCCACCAAATAAACACTGCCATCCTTTCCAGTGTTATTATTCCACCACGTTTTGTGAATACTAGAGCTAAGAATACAAATGCTATTCCAGGAGAGAGACAGAAAAATAATCACCTGATGCAGCGAGTACACTGTATACATCTAGTCATAATGGTTTTCACCAACGGCCCAATGTTCTTGTCCTCCACAGCACGTTTCCCCTCTAAAAACCGGCTCCTATCGCTTCCAAACATCATGGACTGGTCCTTAAGTAGATTGCAAAAGAGTTAACCTAACTTTGCTAACAAAATCAAAACTTGAGACAACCAAAAGAATTAAGAAATTAAGACTACACACCTGCAGATCACATTCACCTCCCTGGTCACAAATAGGACAGTCCAGTGGGTGATTTGCTAATAAGAACTCCATCACACCTTCTCTGTACAGAAGATTGTAATATACAAACTTAAGTAAATTGCTGACATTCAAAATGGTTTACACATAGGCTATTTAAACAACCTTGACAGATGTATGTTCTCATATAGTTAGTATGGATTTTATATTTACTATCATAAATACCACTGTTAACTATCATTAAAGTAATATTAAATATGTAATTTAAAAAATGTTTATGAATCTGGATTAAAATATCATTAGAGAACCTAGAAAATTATGAGTTTTAACACAGAATTATCAGAAGTTGCTGAATGGGCCTTAGAAAACTCAGGCATTAATTCAGAAAAATATGAACGCAAAGCAAAAACAAACATAATCAGTGCCAGTACAGTACAGTATCACTGCCATAATCTCAGCTCAATAAGCCCCAGACTCACGGCCATCACAAGCTGAGCAAGGTTCTAAACAAGGGTTTTTAATGCCGATTCCACTATAGACTCAAAAACATAAAACACCTGACTACACCTCCTCTATGTGTACTTACTTCCATCTGCTGCTAAAAGCCTAGCACAACTTCTTCAGAGTCTGATACTGAATTTCTCATCTAGGGGAAGGTCTACATATTGAAATGTGCAATCTTCTGCCAAGAAGAGTCACTATGCTGAGTTAACAGTAAAGTACCTGGCTTTCTTAGTTTTCTCAGAGTTTGTCAGGATATTCCAACCTTTCATTACTGGCATGGCACAAGCAGCTACAACCTGGAATTTCAATGAAGAAATCTCTAAGTATTTGTAATTATACAAATTTTAGTTGTAATTCTAAGTAACCCAATATATAAAAACATTAAATCAGATATTTGAAAACAAGCAAAGAACAGAGTATTTTTGAAGACTGAGTTTTTTAGTTTTCATATTTATATGATAGTCGGGCACTTTACATTTCTCTTAAAAATAAGACATCATCTTAATTTTATTATAATAATATGATTTTTTAATAAGAGGCTCTGAAACAGAACATCAAATAACTATTTTGATGAGCAGGCACTACTGAACTAAAATTGCATAAGCCAAAACAGTTAAATTGAAAGTGAACCTTTTCACTTCAACCCTTTTCTCTAGTGAAAAATGGCACAGCATAAGCACTTCCAATGTTGTGTGTCATATAGTCATTTGGAAATACTGACTGCTCTAAGAAGGTCCCTTTAATTTCTAAACATTACAATTATATAGGACTTGCACTTATAAAGTACTTTCTTCAATGTGTTTCCAGTTGTGGAATGAAGAGAATCAGTCACACAGAAAAATTTACAGATAGAAGTAAACAGGACCAGACTCTTGGTTACCACAATACTGACTCTAAATAAAGCTTGCTGCATAATTTAAAGTTTTCTACCTTCTACAGCATGGTGTGTTATTTTAGGTATTAAGTACCTTAGGAGCTTTCTCAATTTCAACAAGGCACATCCTGCAGTTTCCAGCAACAGACAACCTTTCATGATAACAGAATCGAGGAATCTGCATGCCAACCTTCTCACAAGCCTAGAAGAGAAAGTAAAAAATATTTGTACTAGAATAACCTGACCTCATCCGTGCCTTGTCTGAAACACAGGAAAAAGAAAAACAAAAATCAAACAACAAAAAAATGAGGTCCTCCACTACTTATCTAATTACTCCTGCCTCCAAACATCTGCATCTTCATCCTACCTTCATCCTCAAAGAGATTTCCCTCCTTTTCTTTGTTCTTGACTCCAACCTCTGTCTGCTCTGAAGATACCTCTTTAAAGATCCTCACCAAGCCTAAAAACTGGATAAAGCGTCCTCAGACTGTGCTTGACTACTCACTTCTCTGAACCATTCTCTACAAAGATTCCTCCTTCAAACTCTGTCCCAGTGGTTTCATGTCCCTGGATTTCCTCATTGACGAGCTCTCCTCCTTTAGATTAGACTTCATTTCACACCGTCTAGGTGACTATAATCTGGTTCTATCTTTGGCCCCATATCCCGCCCAGGACTCCCCTGTTGGCTAAGGGCTCTTCTCAGTTCCCATTTGCCTAGTGAGGGGGATTAGTTCAGCTCTGTCAATTATCCCTGCTCCTTCTCTGCGTCTATAAATGCACTTAAATTTCGAGAGCTAGTTATTCCATCCTTAGCCCTCACTCTAAAGCAATCTCATCAATTTTTAATATTTTTAACAACTTGGTAAAAATGCACCATGTCTTCCTGTGTGCTAGATGCAGTAGGTCAACTGTCCCCACCTTCACACTAGCTCATTTTACATACTGATTACATTCGAACCTTCATCTGCAATCCTGACAGTCCTCCACTTCTTTTGATGCAGGTAGGCATTTACATGTGAATGTTCCTTAGACAGTTAAAATTCAATCTATTTCTGTCTCCTACTTCTCCAGAGGATCTTCCCCACCCAGGGACCATACCTGGGTTTCCTGCATTGCAGGCAGATTCTTTACCAACTGAGCCACAGGCAAGCCCTGTCCTCTCTTATATATCCCCAAATAAGATAACAAAGCCAGAAATCACAAAAACTCCTCTGCTCTTCATCATTCCAAAACGCCTGTCTATCTACATCTCACTCTCTCATGAATATACCCTTTTGTTTCCATTTCCATTGCCACTATTTTGGGCTTTCTTTATTTCCTGCTCCACTAATGCAAGATATACTCTATCCTTGTCTCATTCTAATCTTAATCTCCAAACTACCATTCTCTACAGTCAATGTCATACTGCTTAGTACCCATGAAAACTCTTGATGGGCCAAACTACAAGCTCGTTAACATTGCACTGACTATCTTTAATGACTAGACCTTCTCCAACACCACAGTTCTAGTTTCCTGTTATCTCCTCTTCTACACATACCTTGTTTCACCAGTACTAAATGACCTGAAGTTTCCTTGTCCACATATAAATACCTATTCATCCTTTAAAAACTTCTCAGGGATCACCTGAGATATTTCTGACATCTCTTCTACCACCTCCTATTCATGCCAAAATACTCTCCACTGTACGCTGAACATACTTTTGTTATATATTTATTGTTTCTATTTCTATGCCTGACAGTGCAAAAGTTACTGCTAAAATGAATAAAGAGCATTTAGCTCTGCAACAATTTACAATGGAATAAAGCACTACTTCTCCATGACCAATTTTGCTAGTTCTGGAAGAAACTGGAGAAATTAAGTGTTTAGGGCATATATTCAAGAACCCATTACCCCCCATTTATCTGCTTTGTGGGACACATTCCTAGAAATATTGTTAAAAATAGGAAAGTTATGTAAATGTGCATCAAGCAGGCTGACAACAAAGATTACCTTTCTCCCAAACTTACTCATATTAACTGATAATTTATTTCACATAACTTAAAATTTCTAAATGGGAATTTATTTGTAAGGCAGAAGTGAAACAAAAGAACTGCCAAAGTTCATTAATAAAGTCAGAAACAGAAAAGCTCATTCTGATATGCCAAGATTTCAAATCAAAGTTATCTTTATATAATTTTACTATCTACAGTACTTTAATGAGCATTTGTCAAGGAATCTTGAAAATTTTAGAAGTAAACAGTATCAAGAAATAAATGTTTTTTTAAAAAAATCAGATTATGCACAAAAATAAAGAATTAAAATTAATGCCTACTTGAAGGACGGTAGTTCCTGGTTCCACCATGACAGACTGACCATCAACAAATACTTCAATCAAGTTGCTTGCTGCTGTGGCAGTTGTTCGAACTGATCATCCAAAAAATTGAGGTGAAGATGAAATTAGCAGAGTTTAAGGTATTAGAGCAGAGGGTAATGGATTAAATAATTAACCTACAGGTCTAGATTTTTTCCTCATTTTATCCTATTCCTTTCTATTTCTCTAGATGCAAACTTTTAAAATACTGAATTAGAGGAAAGCTCTTCCAATCCTTAATACCAAATGGAAGAGAGTTGTCTATTTTTAACAGCAGTTTAGGCTGTAACATTTTTGGCCCTGCTCTGTGTACAATCTTAGCTCCCTACCAGGGACGGAACCATGCCTCCTGCCACTGTTAGTGTAGAGTCGTAACCATGGGACTGCCAGGAAGTCCCAGTTGTAACTTTTCATGCCCCTGAATACATGTTCCTGGGAAGATCACTTCTCAAAAGCAGAACAACTGCTTTTTCCATTCTGGCACTGATGGGCAGTTCCTACTACTTTCCATTTCTATGAACTGTTTAAAGCTCTATTATTCTATTCAACTATTCTATTTTTAATAAAAACTATTATAATAAAAATAAACCACTGACTCAACATTGTTTCTATTTTTATTTAAAATCTATTATGGATTTAGGGTCTTTCAAGAAACATTCCATAAACCTATGAATTTACAAAGATAGACAGTTTAGGGCCCACAAATGCAATTTTAGAAATACTCACCACATCCTTTAGAAGACTTGGAAAGGCCTACTAAGGCCTTTCTTACAGGTATCCTTAACATACTGCTAAAAATAAAACAAAGAAGAGCTAAGTTATGATTAGAAAAAACAATCCCAATAACAAACTTTTCAGTAATATTTTACGGTTTTAAAGCACTTTATATATATATTTTATTCCATTGAACATTTCACAAGTCCTGATATTGTTTCTCAAATTATAGAGATGAGATTACTCCATCTCAGATAAAGTAACTGACTTTTACATCATCAAGAAGTTAAGGAAGAGCTGCTGGTATATAAATATGAGCCTTCTAATTATATACAAATGGAAGTTTTGTTGTTTTTAATTATAAACAAATGGTCAAACTTAAATACAACTATGTAGTAAAATAAATTCCAAGAATTAGTTTATCATTAGTTGCTATATAAAATAAAGCCTACCTTTCTGCCTTCATTTCCTAATACGCATTCCAAAATTCTATGTTCTGACCAGTTACCTACTAAATGCTCCTGAGATACTCTGAGCCTAAGATATTCATAAGCCTAAGCTTGAAAACTCTGGAGTGCCATTTTGTGTGTCAAGTAGTACACTTATCTTTCAGATTTACAATTATTTGTTTATGTGCTTGTTCTACCCCTCCACCGTATTATGTACTTCTTGAATCTTTCTATGCCTACCCCCAAGGCTCGCGCACAGTAAGCTCTAAAAGAGTGGTTCTCTACAAGACACAATTTTGTTTCCCAGGAACATTTAGCAAAGTCCGGAGAGGTTGTCTATGGTCATGATGAGGGGAAATCTATTGGCATCTAATGGGTAGAGGTCAGGGTGCTATTAAAGATCCTACAATACTCAGGACAATCTCCCATAATATAGAATTACCTAAAGTGCTGCAGCTGAGAAGCCCTCTCTGCAGAATTTGCTGAATTACTGAAATAAATGAAAGTGGGTTACATAACTTAACACCAATTAAAGGTGTACACAGGCAAACACTGAAAAGTTATTTGATCTATTAGCGTTTCCTGTCCATTCACTTGGTCATATGGACAAAATATTGCTGAATCAGAACAGGACAGATTCAAAATCAACAATCAATATTTCAAACAACAGTGTAAACATTTTTAATTACTATTTTGTTCATGTCCAATACAATATGAAACTGGTGCCTACTTTAGCTAGGAAATCCACAAAGACTATTTAGCATCAAATGGAAGACTGCATAACCCCAACATAAGCAATACAGATTTGCAAAACTTTGAGAAGTGCTTTACACTTATTTGTCTACCTTGCAGAAACAGAAAAAATCAAATATAAGATGGGAAAGTGCTAATGATGAATCATTTCTAAAACTAGACTGGACATGTTTTGGTACAGGGGTAATACCACTCCACATTCACCATGTATCCTGCATTCATACATTTCTCTCCCTCACTATTCCAAGCCACCATCATCTCTTGCTTGACTGTTAGAACAGCCCCCTAAAAGGTCTCCTGGCTTCCACTCTGCTGCCACTGCCTCTCCCATCTTCCCAGGGGCCGTGGCCTCAGACAGAAATGCTCTTTCCTCAGATCTTTCTGGGCCCTCCTCATCCTTCAAATTTCTGCCTTAAAAGGCATGTCTCAGGGAGATTTTCTTAGACCAGTCTAACTAAAACTATCGTAACTACTCCCCAGTCGTGTCATTTAATTCTTCCATGCGGACTCACTTCTAGTCTATAATAGACATCCAATAACTATTTGCTAAATGAGTTCTATCTCTACCATCTGGCCATCACTTCCACTTTCTTGGCATTAAAGAGTGTAGGTGCTCTGGCAGCCTTGTAACCTCCTGCTTAAAGATGCACACACACACACACACACAAAGATGCACATACAATTCAGTGGGGGGGAAAAAAAAGACTTTCAGTAAAAAACCAACTTGATGTTTATTCATCAGAAACAGTTCATGTTACATCTTCTATACGCTCAGAAACAGAAGTATCTGATCCACGCTTTTATAGTACATGTACATGCATTAGATCCCCCAAAATTAAACAAGGTAGCTTTGTCATTTGCAGTGCAACCTTTGGGCCAACTGTTTAAATGTCCCTTTCTTCCCCACCAGTGAAAATGGTAAGAAGTGCTACCCAATGCAGCCCTTGCACAAAACCAAAACACAAAACAAGAGGCATGCAGTTGCTAAGGCAACAGCGGCCAAAGATGCCCTGTACCAGGAATATGTTAATTTGGGGGAAAAGGCTCAGTCTTCAGGCCTAAGTCACTGACACAGGTCCTCTCCAGGAAGGGGACTGTCTTGTATTCCCCTGCAAAGGGAAGGTCACCCACCAGGTGCACTCGGGTCAGCGTTCCCCAGGGCCTCCAGGTTTCCTTCTACTCTCTGCTCCATCAGACCAGAGATCTTGCCTAACAGTCCTCACCTGCCGGCTCTCGGGGGTTCCCGAGGAGGCGGGGTGGAACGCGGCGCAAAGTCAAGGACAAGAGGAGAATGAGTGGGCTGAGACAAAGGAAACAGTCTCGTCAATAAACAAACGCCGGGGGCTGGGGCACCTCAGCCTTCTCACCCAAACACGACCTCACCTTCTCCCTGGAGCCGACGAGGCTACCCTGCAGAATTGTCTGCAATACACCGACCCCTTCAGAGGCCCAGCTGCTTATTCAGTATGGCGGTCTCGGTATCTCCGCCAGCCGGGCCTGGAAGAACGGAAAGCCGGGAGGGACTAGAAACCCAAGTTCGACAATTTCCGGCTGATAGAGTTCGGCAACTTCCGTAGCCTTAACAGAGGGCGGGGCAGAGGGCGTAGCACCCGGGAGGAGGCCGGGGTGGAGTTGGGGGTGACGGGGGCCGGCTCGGACCCGCAGTTCCGCCGGAAGAGGCCTGTCGGCTGAGGCCGAGCGTTTTCGGCCATCTCCGGCACCCCCAGAGGGCGGGTCCTAGAGTCTTCGAAAACCTTGGAGGTAGCAATTTAAGAAATACCCATTTTATTAATTGATTTCCAAGCGCAAAGAAAGGCCAACGGATAAATTGCGGGCCATTAATTCAGAGCCTTTGCTTTTTACTTTGAAGAATCTTAACGTACTTTGACCTTTAACCTGCGGCCGGGGGCCTCGTAGAGAAACGCCTCCGTTTCTATATAAGGGATTTCCGGACCTTTGCGGCCCTTTTTGCCTCTTTGCGCTGGGCGCTGACCGGTTGCGCGCCTCTTTTTCTTGGCTGCCTCCCAGTTCTAGATTAGCCTTCGCCATGGGTTTTGGAGACTTGAAAAGCCCCGCTGGCCTCCAGGTGCTCAACGACTACTTGGCGGACAAGAGTTACATAGAGGGGTGAGCGCATTGGCCCGGGTCGGGCAGGGCAGGGTTGGTGGGGCCACGTGGCGCCGCCTCGGCTGCGGCTCGAGGAAGGGAAACCCGGTCCCAGGGCCCTCTCGGGGGAGGGGTTGCGAGGGAACAAGGGTTAAAATGTGCTTTTTCCGCATGCTTAACTCCACCAGGTTTTTCCACGTCTTTGCTTGGTTAACAGATGTAAGCCTGTAGCTCCGTGTTAGCAATGGCAATTTCTGAAGAGGTCTACTGAGTGGCAAACATGTCTCAGTGTCTCAGGGTATCGCGGAGAACCAAACAAATGATCTCTGATCCTAAGAGGCTTGTTTCTTACAAACGACAAAGCAGCTTAGGTACCCCGGTGACGAAAGGGCGAGTTCGTAGCGTTTGTCATTCATTTGCTGGTGTTTGTATCTCTCCTTATAAGAGTGTGTGTAATTACGTTTGTATCATCGGCAGGTATGTGCCATCACAAGCAGATGTGGCAGTATTTGAAGCCGTCTCCGGCCCACCACCTGCCGACTTGTGTCATGCCCTCCGTTGGTATAATCACATCAAATCTTATGAGAAGGAAAAGGCCAGGTAAAATTATTTTTGTGTTTGCTTGAAAAATAGAATGCTTTCAGAGCTTAAACTCGGGGTTTCCACGTGACAAGTTAGGGTTCAGGATATTTTAGTTTTATTGGGATATTTCTCCATGACTTGAGAAGGGCCAAGAGACCAAAATCCTCCCGTTTTTTTCACGTAGCAGGTAGAACGTAACCATACTGAAGAAAAAAATTGGCCAATCTAGGAAATAGAAAATTTTATTCAAGCCACACCGAGGATTATAACCTCAGAAAAACTCCCAAAACCTGACAACTCTTCCCTCCACATAAGTAAGACAAGGCCGTACATTAATTAATGTATTATTTAATGACAGTATATATAATCTAGATCTACAAGTGCAAAGCAGGTCATGGTTCATCATGATCCAAGATTAAGAAGAAATATTTCTTTAAGAGGATTGGTTAATGCACATATACAGTGCAGCCTAGAGGGGAGGGAGGTGGTTCAAGTAAACTAAGAAAAATTTTATTTTCAATTTTTATTTTGTCTTGCCATGAAATATGAATTTTACTTGATGAAAAACAGCAATTCAGCTTTTCCCCATACTGCCCTGCCAATGTGCCTGACTTTGACCTGGGGGGCCCACCTGTGGGATGAGCGAGTCCTTCTCCAATCTTCTGAAACTGCTAACAAAATGGAAGTTTGGGGAGGTAGACTCCAGTTCACTAAGAATGGAACTGAGCATACTTAGTGAAATCTCAAATAGAAATACTCATTCTGAAAGTATATCGTTGTCCATATTGAATATAATGTTTCACATGGTACTGATTTTTGTTGGGTGAGCAGCTAAACATATATACCAGGTATTTACCAGGGAGAGTTGAAGGGTAAATTCTTAGTACAAAAGAGATTCTTTAATTGTAAAGAAAACAAGTTCCTCTCATGTGAACTCATATGAAAGGGGACATCATGCTGACCTAGTAATAGTTGATTGATTTTTTTTTCAAGCCTGCCAGGAGTGAAGAAAGCTTTGGGCAAGTATGGCCCTGCTAATGTGGAAGACACCACAGAAAGTGGAGCTACAGATAGTAAAGATGATGATGACATTGATCTCTTTGGATCTGATGATGAGGAGGTATGGCATAAATTGACTTATGTGTGTATCATTGTGCTTAAGCGCAGGCTCTGTAGCCAGAAT